TTTGAACCGCTCTTTCTAAACTCCAAGCTAAATCCCATGTCCTCAACAGGTTTCAACAATCCATTACTTGGCTGTATATTGATTGGCATGGCAAAATACTCACTCAAACTTCACACTTCACTCTGATGTTTCACCCATATGCTAATGCTAGAGAAGTTTCTCCTTTACTCTGTCAACAAATGTCACAATTGCATCAGTTGAAAGTGTTGAAAAACAAGGTTTAAATGATGTAACTCAACACAAAAATCTTTGCATTATCTAATATCAAGGAAGTAAAATCAAGAAATCAGGGTCAAAACACAGTGAAAAATATGAGACAAGGTTCGGGAAAAGAAGGGTCCGCACGGTGGAACAATTAACAACCAAACAATCTATAAAGGAAAAAAACTGATTACATTAAAGGGGATACACCGTTTTTTCATGGCACCAAACATAAATGGAAACCTTGATCCAGAAAAAATGGAACACAATTTTGACATTGTCCAGAAGGGATTATGGAAGAAAGCCACGTGAAAGGGAAATTATTGAATGCATTGCACAAAAGGAAATACACATAGACTTGCTCAAACCCATCCACTTCTTAATTCAATGAACAATGTGATGATGGAAAGCTACTCCTCACTTCCAAAACAGAGACAACAGTGGACTAAACTCCACTTGCCATTTAAAATATATATCGATTTTTCTAAATTTGATGCTAACTACACATAATTCCACTTCGTGGAACCCATAATAGAAACACAAGCAAATACAGAGAACCATACCATACACATCATTCATTACACATAACAAGATATATGCAACACTGTGACAGTGATATCTACAAACTCGTTAATAACGAAAACGATGGATTGCTAATACCCAAGACTACTCAAAAACCGACAAAAGAACCCAAATTTTTAATTAAAAAAAAAACAGAAAATTAATACAAAGCTAAAGCTCTGTTTGACTGGTGAGAAAACAAGAACAAAAACTGCAGGATACCCTCTTCGGAGAAAATCAAGAGCAACAAAACCCACATTCCCAAAAGAAAATAAAAATAAAAAACACCGATCAATTCCTTTCCTTTAAAAAAAAAACTTGATTTTTCCTTCATTTTCAGTTTTTCACCACACTTACCAATAGAGAGAGAGTGGGAGAGAGAGAGAGACAGAAAAAGACAGTGACGCGAAATGCAAAATGTAGAATCCAAATTCAACAACACAATCCGAGATTTTGTCAGGAAACAAGAACATGAAATCTTACCCAAAAGAAAAGGAAAAAGAAAAAACGAAAGAGTCTTGGTGGGTATTGCTGCAATGATCGAGAGAAAGATCCAAAGCGTAATGGAAAAACGAAAAGGGACGTAGTTTAGAAGCGAAGTAAAGAATTACAATGAGGCCACTGTTTTTTCTTTCATCATTTCGTTCTTTCTTCTTCGTTCATCTTCGTATATATGTTTTATTTTCGGGTTTGTATTAACGTGCCGCGTTTTTCTTTCTCTGAGAAAAGAGAAAACGAATAATCATCGATTACGTTACTACAGGAAAAGAAAAAAGAGAGAAAAAAAAAAGAGAAAGATCTCAGATTTAATGCACAGTAACAGTGGTTTATTAGAAAGTTACTGTAATTAATAATAAATAACGAATAACATACATATTGAGAATATAAACGTTTTTTTTTATATATATTATCATTTATTTAAAGTTATTAAAAATAATTGAAACTTCTACGTACTTAATAAACTCTATATTAATTCATTATATTTATTTTAATAAATTTTAATTAATAATAAAATAAATATATTAAAAATAGTGTGTTAGGAACTCAAAAGTTAATGAGTAAGTTATTACTACTCTGTTCTTTATTATAGAAAATAATATAAAAAAATTACACATTTTTTAAATATAAATAAATTTTAATCACTTTTATTTTAAGTAATGATATATATTTTTTAAATGTCTTTCATATAATACATGATTTTCTAATTGCATTATTTTTTTTTAAGTATTTATAACAAGGATCGTTTAAAATAATATCATGAAAATAGTAAAATTTAATATAGTTAATTATTTTTTAATATATGTGAATTTTTTTTTTCTTATAATAATAGATGATAGAGGAACTATTCAATAACTCGTGAAAAAAATTAATAGTATCAATTTAAAATCTAAGGAAAAATAGATATATCATAACTTAGATTGAATCCTCATTTTTATTATTATAACTGGTATTAATAAAGCACTTCATATCCTTATATATTTTGTAAAAGAATAAAAATAAAATAATAAAAATTAAATATGAGATCAGAATTAACAATAAGAGAGTATGAACGATTGTGTGTGAATAATTAGAAGATGTGAAAAGTTTAAAAAATAAATTTACGATTAAGTAGAAAAATAAATAAATAAAAACTAAATAATAAGAGTATTTTAGAGGTTATGAGAGTAAAACACTCAATAAGTGTAAAACAAAAAAAAAATAAATTTCCTTTAACAATGTTATTAATATTTTTTATCAATAAAAACAACTTTCTTAATTGAGTAATGTTATATTCTCCAAAATAATCGTTGAAATTTTTTTTGAATCATTTAAAAGATTCGCATTGATCAATTTACATATTTGACTTTTTAAAAAATTTAATCGTTCAAAGGATGTTTCGAGATTCAATTTCAGAGGATTTTCCATCTTTGTTCTTAATTTTTACGATATTTAGTTATAAATTTTATTTTTATTTTTTGCCCTTAGCTACCAAAAGAAGATGAATTTTTAATTATTAGTTTATAATATAGCATAAAAATGTATATTAAGAGTTTAACTGATTTCAACATATATACATGTACTTTATATAAAATAAAAATTTAAATATATTTTCAATCCTTAAAATTTAAGATAATATTTTATTTTTAAATTTAAAATCATTTATTTTAGTCTCTATAACTTTTAAAAATTTTATTTTGATTTCTCAAATCATTAATAACATATACGAAGGTGACAAATTGAGATAATTATATGATATCAATCAAATTTAATTTGACATATTTACTAACAGAAACACCAATAAATAAATTTTATACGATAATATTTGATAAATTTTTTAATAAAATTTAAATATAAATATTAAAATCAGATTTTTAAATTATATGATTAAAATGATTAATTTTAAATTTAAAAAATTAAAAATAAATTTATCTTAAATTTGAAAGACTAAAAATATATTTAAATCTAAAATATATTAAAAGTTTAGTAGTTATGTATAATTTTTTTAGGGTTTAAGTACTTTTTATTAAAATTAATAAACTTCTTATGATGAATTTTAATTGGATAATAAAATAATTTTTTTTATATTGTTAATATATGAACTATTTTTTCTTGTATTAATAGTTTATTAATTAAATTCTTATTATAATAATTGAAAATTTTAATTTTAAAATTTTAATTGAACGATAATGTAAAAAGTATATATTCTTATTACACATATTTGAGATATCGATTAAAAATTAATATGCAAAAATGTTCTCATTCAAAATTTCATTAAAATTATATAAAAATAAAGAAAATTTCTAAGATTTTCTTTACATTTAAATTAAGTGTAAAAAAAAAAAAAAAAAAAAGACATAGTGGGTTAAATAAGTGAGTGGGGAGTGTCTGAGAGAGTGTGAGAGCGTTTCGTTTTCAATGGAAACGGTGGAAAGAAAGAAGCGACAGTGGGTCCCACTGGGGGAGACTTGTTTCGCTGTCACGAATCCCGAAGGTAGGGAAGGTGGGACCCACCTACGTGTTGCCATATCGGAATGCTTTTACTATTTTAGTTTAGTGCTTTGTCTTTTGCTATAAAGAAAGAGTACATGAAAACACTAACAAATTTCGCGGGAACGCCGATCCGGAGATATCGTTTCATTTCATTGCGCCAAGACCACTGAAAATATGTCGCATCGCATGCCCACTACTATCCCATTTTCAACGTTTTAATCACCCTTTTCGCATCTGATTTAAGGATGTCTCTACTCTCTAGGAAATTTTTATGCTGTTTCTTTTTTCTCATTTTAAAATTAAGAAAACTGTGTAATGTTTAGGAAAATAAAATTATATGAGTTAATCACCTATACATTACTAGTATAAATTTTTTTTATATTGACAATCAATTATATTTTTTAATTATGTTATGTAACTGTAAACACATTTACTTTTAACAGTAACATGACATAATTAAAAAATATAATTAATTATCAATATAAAAAAACTTTATATTAATAGTGTATAGGTGATTAAATCAAATTATATATTAAAACACTAATTTCACTTCAGGAATCATGCATGACACTTCTGAAGAATCTAACTCCAAAGAATACTCATAGTTGAGCAAATTTTAAAGATATAAATATCACATTCAGATTTATATATATATTTAATGTAAAACTCTTAATATTGTATTACTTCCTTTTATGAATTTACATTGACTTTCACTCTAATTTAATGATAGTTTTATCTTTTTAGTGATTTCATTTATTGATCAATATTCAATTTCAATTTGTATCTTAATTTAGTTTATAGACAAGTTTTTTTTTGAAGTTCAACTTGATTAATGAAAAATTTATATATCAAAATTATAGATAATATTTAATGAGGTTTAAAATGTTCTTAGATAATGTTCTTTAAATTGAAGATTAAATTAAAAAAATTCACACATCATCATTTAATTAATTCAATTAATTAATCATGTACAAAATAAATTATCAAATGTATCTTTGAAAGAGTTGTTAATTTGGACTTGAAATGGGTCGAGAAATTAGATCTTAAAAATGACGACCTAAATAGAACTAGGTCATCTAAGTCATGTTTATTAAATTCGACAGGTCAAATGAGTTTAGATCAAACTGACCTACAAATTTACATGTTGACTTGTTAAATTAATAAATAGAATAATTTAAACTACTATTAATCTAAAAATTTGTAATGTATTATAAAATAATAATAATAATATAATAATGAGTCTTTTATTTTTTTTTTATTTTTTTATTCTTATGATAACATCTATAAATAAAAATTTTGGACAAAATGAAGTTATTACAAAACTTTTTTTATATTATTAAATTCCTTTTATAGTCTGTGTCTTTAATTTTTCAATATTTTTATATTATTAAGACCTATTCATTAGAGGGAATTATTGGAAGCAATTTTTATATATGTAAAATATAATAGTTATTAATATTAATTTTACACATTTTTCAAATAAAATAATTAATTTTTATATTAGTTTATTTTATTTTTCTATAATATTTATAAAACTTTTTTTATATTATTAATATATATATATATATATATATATATCAAATTCATTTATATATTTTGTTTCTTCTTTTTATTTCTCCAAATCCACTCTAAAATAGGTGGACATTTACAATTTTTAAATATAAAACATATCCAACTCAAAGGCTTCAGAAATTATTCAGTCCATTTTTAAAAAAAATTATCATTTTTTTTAAATTATAAATATAAGACATTTTAATTATTTAATTATATTTTGTATATTTTAAGACATAATAATTAATAAAAAAGTGTATATACAAAAATGTTAATAACTTAAGTTGATCTTAAAATGCTAATTAAAATAAAAAATAAATGTCTTATCTTTGCAATTTGAAAAGTTATTTTGAAATACCAAGTTAAGTTATATAATTTAGAATTAAATAAGTTTTTAATCTCTTGACTTTCTAAAATTTTAAATTTTAATCTCTTTTAAATTTTTTTTGCCAACTTTTAGTCTTTCATTAAATTTTGTCTTATAAATTAATTTTTATAGTTAAGTCTTCTTTAGTAAATTAATTTTATCTATATCTCTAAACCTTCTCTTAAGAGGGTGATTCTTTTCTCAGAGTATTGACTATGTGTGATTGTTGATTCAGGTTAGTAGAGTTGTGAATCAAATCTGTTAAGTCATGCTGAGTTTCCTTGGAGAAACTCGAAGTTCTTCTTCTTTAGGATCTTTAGGTAAGAGAAGTTAGAATTGAATTCTCGTTGAATTGTTGAGTTGAATGCATGAATTAGTTGCAATTGTATTGTTGAATTACATGAGTTTGAAG